ATTTTGCACACAGCTTTTTGTAATAGCTTCACAACATCATGCAAGAGATTTTCTAAATTACAGAAAAAGTTAAACCGCCCTCGTCAAATCTATAAACAATAGTGTTTATGAATTTATGATCAATCAAAGATCAGATATCAAAGCAAGATTCAAGCGCATATCTTTTCTGAAATTACGTTGTGAAGCCGTTGCGTTGCGTTGAAAAATGAGAATTGTTGAATATTTGAATGAGCTTTTCAAACATTCAATACTTCATTTAATGTTACAACGTACACTTGTAATGTCATTGATTGAAATGGTGGAATTCTACTTCTCCTCCTCCGAACAAAAAATTTGGACAACTTCCATGTATAAACAATCCACGTCAAGATAAACTCTTTGTGAAAATGAAAAGATTATGCACAATTTTATTCATATACAAATGAAAGAAAAAACTCTTTCATATTAACATTGGATTACATTAAAACCACTTTTTCCTTTTCAGTTTGTACTTCAAGAAACGATTATGGAATTGAAACAGATAACATTCATAAGAATGCTACATATACAATGAGTTTTCAGACATAATTTCACTCATATGGAAGAATTTATCATCATTAATGACATACTTCAGGTTGGAAGTGCTTGTCATAAATTCCTCATCAGCAACTTTTTGAACCTTCAAAAACAAAACACGCATTTCTCGTACAAGACAAGAGCAGATTTTCCTTTTTCGATGACATAAAGTCATAAACTCACGGTGCAAAATGCGTTTAAACATGCTGACGAGGAATTGAAGACCCGAAACTTCGGATTGAAAACACTTGTTACTGAAATATGTTACTTTATGAAGCGTTCCTATGAGTAACATTTGTTGCAACTCCATAACTAATGTTTGGAGAACAAACTTTATAGGAAGAACTATTTTTTCTATTTCAGTTCAGAGAAGTTGACTTTTCAGGTTGTTGATGTTGCCATGGTAACTTTGAGTCACGAGCGTTTCTAAAAGTTGGGTGTATGTATCTACACTGAAGTGTACTTCAGATAAGAGAAATCAGGTATCAATAAATATATTATTTCATCAGTTCTGACTTCCACTGTCTAATACAGCGTGACTCATGGTCGATGGTAGGTTAGACGTTTCTGGAAAACGCAAAGCATGATTTTTCTGAAAATTTCACCTCTCACATTTCCTTACCTGTTCTATCGATCTAAAATTTTCAGCATTGCGGCGTTGCCACTTCCATCAAAAAGGCCTAGCAACTTTATTTTTCAAATGGAGCACCCCGTATATTAATACATTTTTGTACAACAAATTTTGAAAAATCACGGAATGCATCCGTATAAATTTACCAAAGTTTGTAACGGTCTAAATTTACTTGTAAATATTGTAGATATTGTTCGTTTATTTACTATGGAATCGACAGAATTGTCATTTATTGATGACGAACTTTTCGTCACAGCTAGGGACACATCTGGTTTGTCAGTGTGCCCGACCTACATTTTCAAAGAAGTTGTTACGTTTCAATTTAGCACTAGATCAAACTGCTCTTATGTGACCTTTCAAAACCACTACCTTACCTTTTAAGATCTTTATTCAGAGGATATTAACAATGTAATTCAGTTACAAGTTCATTTTATTCATTTAACATCATAGTAATGGGAATCTTCCGTTCCATAGAAAACCATACCTGAAATGTATAAGAATAAATGTATGCTCCCTGACTAACTGCTTTGACCAGTACTTACGC